ACCAATTATGGGGTTCGTCTGAGGACTATTCTCTAAGCTTGTGCACAGCACGTGCTGCAACGTCTGCAAATGTGTACGAGTTTGAACAATCTGCTGGCTACTTAAGGTAAGATTAAAAATAAATTAACATTAAAGAAATAAAGTCTGGAAACAGACCGCAAGCAACTTCAAAGAGTGAAGTGGCACAACTCTGTCATCGTGATCAGCAGTCAATAGCATGGTTGATGGATACTGAATGAATTGATCGGTTTGTTGCTCCCATGGCCTCTTCACATTGTGCAGAGGCGAGTACCTTTTTACATTCACACCCAGATTTTAACTTTGTATCAGCATTGGGAAACAAATCAATACAACATCATATCATACGTTAATATACTTACTTTATCAGCCAATGAAACTCCTCTTCATTCTCGGAGCAACCATAATCAGATGTCCAGGCATGACCTATACATACGTAACACCTCAACTATATATACATTATGCAAAAAAAAAAAAAACAAACAAACGAAAAAATTGCAGATAACTGAACTCACTCACCTATAGTGAACTTGTGAAACCGTAGCATGTCCATGACGCCCACATGAGCTAAAGCACACCCAAAAAGGTCTGGCCTCTGTGCAGCAGAATTGAAAATTTTATGAATAAGTGTGGCAACTAATTGAAATGAAATTTGCAATTAGCTTTATAAATATACACAGACTTGCCTGATTTATGCAAGCACCGATTAGGAGTCCACCATTGCTGCCACCTTCAATACACAGCTTGCTCGGTTGTGTATAACCAGCGGACACGAGATACTCTGCCCCAGAAATAAAGTCATCGAAACAGTTCTGCTTTTTGGCAAGTGAACCTGCTTTGTGCCATTCCTCACCATACTCCCCACCACCCCGAATATTTGCAACGCAGAAAACAACACCGAGATGCTTGCTAAGCACAATGCGGCTGGCACTGAAAGACGGTGTTATGCTTATGTTAAACCCGCCATATGCATAGAGCAAACATGGGTGTGATCCATCAAGCTTAATATCCTTTTTCGCCACAATAAACATTGGTATCTTTGTTCCATCTTTGCTGGGATAGAAGACCTATAAAGAGGAGCAGAAGAGACTTTAACATATGCAAAGTAAAAGTAAATTATGAAAGAGACAGGAATATCCACTACAAGAGAGTGTGTAACCTGAATGGCTTGAAATGCTTCCCTGTCAAATCCGGGTACAGTAACCTCCCGGAATACCTTAACTTCTGGAGATTCATTGGCTAAGTCACACTTGTAAATCACACCAGGAGTGAGGAAGCTAGTAAAGCTAAAGAAAAAGGTATTGTCCTTGCGCCGAGCAGAAACATCAGATACTGAACCAATATCTAGAGGTAACTGGTGAAGCAATGAACCAGATTTCAAGTCCCTAATTTGCAGAATATGCTTTACATCGCTCATGTAGCATGCGACCAGATGATTCCCATTGACTGCACAAGCTGATGCTAAGACATCCTTCTCGTGTTCTTCAACAACATCAGTCCAACTGTTTGGTTCCTTTAGATCAACCAGGACTAATTTGTACTTAGGGGCATCTTTATTTGTCAAGAAAGTAAACAGAGTCTCATCATTTGAGATAACACTATATTGAGCGTCAAACGTGTCAACAAGCTTAATGAATGGAAGAAAACTGCTGCTTCCTCTGAAACTCTCAAGACCTCCCGAAAATGAAGTCATATCGCAGTAGTATAATTTGTTGACTGGGTCACAACTCTCTCCAATGCTCATGAACAGATACTGCAAGAAGAAACAACATTATGAGATTAGACCTAAAACTAAGAATCCAAGTTTCAGTCTACAAAACTAGGTAAAACAGTTTGAAGTCATGCCCATCATTTAGAAAAAGGGAAAGGATCAAAATGATTTTCCGACAGTATTTACAGAAAAAAAAAATTGAGGATTAAGAGCGTAATCAAAGTTAAAAGAACCCAGTGTTACCTTCCCATCGTCAGTGACTTCAGCTCCGAACATATATTTGGGATTCTCATGATCTCTCCAGCATAAGATATCTTGAGATTGATCCGTCCCAAGGAAATGGTAATACAGCTCATGATAAAGGTTAGAATTCGTCTCAGTGCCAGCATCAATATCCTCTCCTTCTCTGCAAAAGACAAATAAAATTGTTAGAGTAACTTAGCTATCTTAACTATATTGAAAGGCTTCTACCAACACATCTTGTACTTACTTGGGAGCTGGGTAGCGACCATAGAAAAATCCTTTACTGTCGTGCGTCCATGTAATGCCAGTAAACTTAACCTGTTCCACGAGAGGATCATAAATATATCAGAAATCTTGACGGTAGAAGTTTATTGATCAACCCCACTAATCAGTACCATCTTAAAGACCATACCCATGATAAAACATCAGGCTCCACTTTCTTATCCTCGATATTCATCAGCTTAATGGTCACCCAGTCGCTACCACTTGAACTAAGACCATAGGCCAAGTACTTAGCATCCTCGCTGACAGAAAAGGTGTTTAAGGCCACAGTTCCATCATCACTAAGAGTGTTTGGATCAAGCAAAACCTCTGGCTCAGCATCCAGATCATCCTGAACCCGAATGCAACAAAATTCAATGAGTAAACAACGCTAGAAAATGCATGTATGTACTGATACGAAAGCCATGGCTCTCAACAAATACCTGCATATAAAGCACACTTTGGGCCTGTAGACCGGTGTTATGGAAGTAAAAGTACTTATCCCCTTGCCTGAACGGAGAATCGTAACGCGGATGATCAATAAGTTTCGTTATATTCTGACGGAGCTTCTCCTTGGTTTCGCACTTTTCAAGCACAGAATCTGTCAATTTCACTTGGTTCTGCACAAACTCCTTTACTTCTTCAGCATCAGGATCCTCTAACCTATCAAAAAAACAATCCAGAATGACAAATTCAACGCAAAAGCATAACAAAAATGAACAAATCACACAAAATCTCCAACAATTAAGGAATTAATCTTCAGGTCAATCGCCAAGTCAAATCCAATGTCTGCTTATTCCTCAGAGAGCGATATGCAGAAAATTCAAATCCCATTTGAACCATTACAAAAACCTAAACGCAAGAGAGAAATTGCAGCTGGAAACGAGCTCTTACCAACGGTACGGATCTCCGATCTTAACGCCGTGATAGTTATCGACGACGGAATCACCACGCCGAGTCGCAGGGTAATGTAATCGCTCGCCTAACACCGAAGAAGATCCCATAATCGCAGAGCTCGAACAACAAAAACAACGAGAAACAGAATTGGGTCGATTGGAGAAGGTTTCGTTTAGGAGAAGAAAAGAGGAGAGAGATGATTGGCGTAATGTATTTATACGGAGGCGGCGCGTGATTGTTGGGACGGTAACAAACGCGAAAACGTGAGAACGCGCGTGACTTGCAAACGCTGTGAGCATCGGTTTTTCTCTCTACCTCTCCTTCTTCTTCTCCGAGATTATCGATAATATGTCGTCAACATGGTTTCGTCGTTCTATCGAGTACTTATGGATATGGTACCAAAATTTAATCAATTATGTTCTCTCATTCAAAAATATATTTGTATGTGTCTTTTTTATTTATTTAATCAACTTGACTAAGATACCTGTGATTGACTGATTGGTAGACTTTTCAAAATTTTATATCCACTGCCAAGTGCCAACTATATATATATTAGGTTTTTCACTTAAGAAAACATCTTGATCAGCTACTAATTCATATGTTTTAACATATGATTATTGATTATAGTATGCAAAAATTATGCATAATTGCATAGCTCCTGATCTTCTACTGAAAATAATAGCTCAAGCAGCAGTGATTTATAACATTTGGTGACAACGGAATAATGTTTTGCACAACTCAATTGGTTTGTCCCCCCCCCCCCCCCTTGTTATCTTCAAATTGGTTGATCGTCAACTTCGCAACGTAATCTCTTCTAGACGAAATCGAAAGCGTTGGCAAAGGCTAATGCTCCTATGGATTCGCTAATCACCTCAAATATTTCCCAATTCTATTGCAGCATTGTTTTTATTCTTTTTGCTTTGGCTACTCTTTAGGTAGGTACTACTCTTTTGTAAAGTCTAATTTTAATTTATAATAATATTAACATATTTAGCAAAAAAAAAATTAAAAAAAATTGCATAGCATTTTATACCAAGTTTAAAGCCTTTTGGGCTGAAACTTTATAATATAATTATGAAGTCTAGACCTGCTGAATAAACTTGAGCCCAACATAAAGCCCAATAAGCTCTCGTTTTCTTCACGAGTCAAACTTTCCATAAATGTAAACAATTGCGACAGATTCTTTTCACCGTTTAGGAGGAAACAAAAGAACATTTTTTCTTTTTTATTCTAGAAAGTAGGTTTTGGACTACTGCATTTGTTTTCTTTAAGAGTCTGTATTACGCAGAATAATAATCATGCGCTACACTACGGAAACATAATTACAGGAGTTTTTGTGAATTGACCGAACAAAAAAAATTACAAGGTAAAGCAACTTTGACCTACATAAACGAGAACGGAAATTTGGGAGTCACGCGCATAATTAAATCGCGTTTGGAGATTTGCCTTGAAAGGATAATTTAAATGCTACTGACACACTTCCAATGATGAGGTTACTAGGGAAAGTTCAAGTTGAATTCTTATTTTCTTTTATTTTTTCTTTGACGTAGAGCACTGTAATTTTTCATATTATTTAAATCCGTAGAACTATACTATAGGCACATTAAAGACGTCGAGCATTATACAATGGTTACTTTCTCAACGTTAAAATCCTTGTTTAACCGGGAAAAAAAACCCCTTAAATTCTAATAATCGTAACAATAGTAAGAGCACTGACAAAAGTCCTATTGTAAACTTGATTTTGCTTTCCATTTTCCCCCATAAAATAACAGCTAGTTTCTTAGTTAATCAAAATACAAGAAAAGTTGCAAATCATTTTGGTACCATCTAAAACCTAATTAATCAAAAATCAACATAAAGAAACACAACATTGTCGGAATCGTCATATCTCGGCATTCATACCTCAATTGAAAGTCCTGAAGTTAGAATACATGCATACATCAAGACATCATATAGAAACATGCGACTATACATGAGTATATATTATTATATATACACAATCCGACTTTAACAAAAGAAACATCATAATAAAGCCTAAGAAAATACTACATCTACTTTAAGATTGAACTTGATATTTCTCCAACCATTTATCAGATTAAACAAATCTCATCAGATAATATATAAACAAAAAAAAAATCACTTGCTAATAGCCTATATATATAGATTCCAACTTAAAAGAAAACAAGACATCATAATAAATAACATTGTGTGGGCTTCACAAACATAGAAAGGGAAGAGTAAGTTATTAAAAAAAAAGAAAAAGGGAAGAGTAAATTCTCCTTTTCATTACCATATTCTCCTATGATTTCAATTTACCTGTGCCTTTATATGGAGTAATGGGTCCTCTTTCTTTATGCATAATTTACCTTTCCTAGATGATGTAAACGTCTCAAACGCCACCACTCTGAAATCTCACATTTGTCAACGCCGTTGCAAATTAAAAGATGTTGAGAACTTCTTACAATCAAATGTGAATGTGATCCATCTTTGAAACCACCATCGGATTAGAGTCTCGATCAAAGAAAGCATAAAACCTTTAAGAGATAAATCAAAGGAGATAGCAAATGACAAATGAAATTGACTTAATCAAGAACAAGTAATGATCACACATATTAAAAAAAAAAATGAGAGTAGATTTGAGATAATACCCGGTTTTCTTCAGAATTAGATCTTAGAATTCAACAAATAATCTTGATCACCAAGAGCCAACGTCTCATATCTTGAAAATATCAAATCATGAGGGGTTTTACAAAGAAACCCTAACAGATCTCTGTTGGCAATATGTCCACCTCCCCTCACAAGACAGCGCTCATACATATACATATAGAGAGAGGAGGTGGACAGAATGCCAAAGATCTCTGTAAGAGACTCTTTTGTCAAACCCGCATGATCAAAAAAGATTAAAGATCCCAAAAACTTCACTCATTTCCTTTCTGTCGAATGTAATATTGAGAGGTACTCACACATTAAGGAGCAAAAAGGGTTATCTGTAGAGAGAAAAGCTACAGAGAGAACATTTAGATGAGAAGCGAACGGTGAGAATATTTATGAGATTGAGAAAGAGGCAGATGGGTTTCTCTTAATGATGGTGATGTACAGTTGTTGTTTGTAGCAGGAAAATTTATGAACCAAGACTTAAATAAAAGAATAAAAGAAAAATACAAAAAATAAAAAAACGAAACCCTAGATTCTGTTGTCACAAAGCTACGGAGAAGATCGAACAACAATCGTGTCTCGAGAGGTGGAATTTTTGCTGGATGGGTTTAATCAAATGAGAGAAGAGATCAAGTTTAAGATTCGGATTTGAAAAGACATAAGATCTAACAACTATGAACAGAAAAACAGTGAAGAAAGAGAGACTGGAGAAAACGTGGAAGAAACAATGAAAATAGAAGAAACTCAATGAGTGTTCTCGGGAAAACAAGTAAATAATAGGGGATTAAAGGATAACGCAATCTTTCTTCTCTCTCAATAAAATTCTTACTTTTCCAAAGTCCTAATGATATAAGCGAAACCCAATAAATTTTCTAGGGATTTTTTTGTTTTCTCTGCTTCTAGCTTCAAAAAAAAAAATGTCAAAAGGAAATTCAACGGGGTTCTCCTTTACGTCTACGACATACCGTTCGTTTTCCTTTTTTTCTCAACTTTTTTTCCGGACCACAACCTAGACGGCACCATATTTTTACTTGACTATGCTTTAATAACGCTATTGAAATTTGCTCAAAATTATAAAAGTTATAGTAGATTTATGAAAAACCAAATTATTAATGAGAAAACATATATATATATATATATATATATATATAGAAAACCAAAGATTTTAAAATTTACAAGAGATTTTACCTTAAGAAGTCACAAATCATGAATTTATAGGATACAACAATCGAATTAAATAGAGAATTAATTGCAGAACAACTTTAGATTTATTAATCAGAATCCACATTTGCTAACTCACCCATAACAATAATTTATTATATTTTGATCAAACGTTCGAAGTTCTTTTCCTCAGAAGACACGAGTTTATCTGTTTGTGACTTTTAAATTAAAACATTTTGAAATATATCATTAAAACAGGACGTATAAAGAAATTAAGAAATACGTAAAGAGTTATAGTATTTGTTTTCAATGTAGTACTCCGTAAGCCCATATTATATCATTGAGAATCATGTAAAAATTAACAATTTCTGACTTCAGTTCGTGTGAGGCAACTTCCAATTGATGGGTCCATTTAAACTCCACCATGGAGTGGATTGCAGAATCCTAGGCTCATGTAGTATAACATAAATTTTTTAATACAGATTATAACAAGCTTTTGACCTATAGTAATTAGCCATGATACACTAAAAATCTTTTTTGTTTGGTATAATCTTTACACTAAACCAAAAAAAAAAATCGACGTATATTCAAGAAGAAGGTCAATCCCTTTTTTGTTTTCTTACTTTAAATGACGAAAATATACAAATGAAGTGACATCATTTTATAATATATAATAGAATCATATTTCCCTTCTGTCGACTGATAGGTCGCACTCATCACTCCCACAATCTGCAAAGTCTCATTTATTCTTTGTGACAATTTGTTTTGGCATACTCATAGTCTCATACTTTATTCTTCTAAAAAAAAAAATACTCATACTTATTTTCTCTTGTTATTTTGATTCAGTGGTAGTATTTTCATTTTCTTATAAATGGAACATACTCCAACAAAAAAATGGACTTATTATTAGTAGTGTGGATGAGAAAACAAATGCATGCCTTGCGTGCATTAATTGCAACAACTCATAATTCTCCCCACTATTTATTGCCTCAAAATCTACCACCCCCATCCAACTTTATCTCCATTAAATTCTTACACCTCAAAAAAATTTGAAACTTAAAAAAAAAAAACTTAATGATGCTTATATATATATATATATATATATATATATATATATATATATTTTGGACTTATTTTTGTTGGCTTTATTAAGGTCAATGATGCTTATATTTTGTACAATAAAGCTTAGATCATACACATTGGCAAACTTTTGAGAAGAGTGTTAGAAATTTTTTTATTAATAAAATGTATTTAAGAGAGAGAAGAGAAAGAAGAAAGAAGAGAAATACTGAGGAAAAAAAGTCACACTCGAGTGTAAACTCACACATAAGTGTAAAATTCACGGTGACTATTCTCTTATTTTCATATTTTTTATTACTCACACCCTTGTAAAAGGTTTAGCCCATGGTCTAATATTTCCTAAACAAATTTATGGTCAGGAATTAAACAAATGGAGTATTTACTATAGAAGATACGCCGGAACAACCGGGTTGACAAAATAGGTTTCGTGTTTAGTGTTTACTGCTTTTGTTGTTGTTTAAATTCGTATATCTTGGAAAAAAAAGTAATGCACGATTTTTGTCATCTAACAATCGATTCTTAGTCTAAATCTAATTAATTGTTATTGACTATGAAAATAACTAAAAAACTAGATGTTTAAAAAAAAAAAAAAAAAACTAAAAAACGACGGGTTTGTCGCATAATGAAAATGTCAGTGGTATGATTGAGTCATTTAAGAAATGGCTTCAAATTTTACTTTCCAGAACACCATGCTATCGATTTAAACACATGTCTTCATATGTTTTAGAAAGATTATAAGAGAATATGTATATACAAATATGAATATGATATCGAGTTTTCTTTTTTGACGTAATGTCATACTATGGCGGTATTTTGTAATGCCGTCCATTAGTGATACACAGAATTATTGAAAAATGTTATTCATGCCATTTGTTTTTAGATTTGAGGCATGAAAATGAGAACTCGACTGTAAAAAAGGTCAACACTTTTGGTTCGCTTTTATAAAGGCTTTTTTTCTGCATTCCATCTTCCGGACATTTTCTTTTCTTTTTGGTTAAAAGATTTTTCATTTCTTTTTTCTTTCTCAAGGTTAATTAATGACTATCATAATGTCTAAAAATATTCAAACGAAAAACACTTACATATATATACTATGTGGCTTTTAATTTGTTTGATGATGACATTGATTCATTTGTTTAACATTTAGGTTTAAAAATAGATAAATAGTTGTAGGAGCATGTTTATATCATTCGTTTAACGCAGAGCTCGATGCATGGACAAATGCTTTTTACCCCACCGCATGATTGCCAAAACTGATAATCGTATTTGGTTATATAATGCCAATTTTCATTATTATTAACAAAATATAATGTACTTTCAAATGTATTTTCTCTAATTAAACTATGCAGAGGTTTCAAAAAAGGCAACAAAAGTAAAAAGAAAATGCAGGGATAATTGGTAAACTATAATTGCGAGTAGTGACTTTTATACAGAAAGAGCAGCAACCGTCGATATATATACACACAATCACACATAACACCACATCTTTGCTTTGGTTAGTGTCGTATCAGTATTTTCAGAAATAATCATTCCTCCCCGAATTACTTTTGTTTTTGGGTTATATGTTCTTCGTGATACTAGAATCTGATTTTATATATATCTGTATCTAAATATCTTTTTATTGAACTATAGAACTCTATTTTAAGTCAATGCGTTTATATATGTTAAGGAAAGTTTACCATTAATTTCACAGTTTCACACCTATATATAGTCATAAAAGACGAACCGAATGCATCAATGAAGACGACACAAATGCCCTAAAAATATCGGACTTGACTTGTATTAGAATTGTAAGCTTAAGTAATACAGTAATGTTTTTTTATATGAATAATTGTACGAATATTTTGAAACACAGCATAAAATGTTGTATTTAATTTTTAGAAAATAATAATAAGACAAATTTATTTTGACTATAACTGTAGAAATTTTTGCAGGATTTGATTTTTGGAATGTAGGCTAAGACAAAAAAGAAAAAAAAAATGCAATGTGGTACTATTGACCAAAAAGAAAGAAAGCAATGTGCTACTGCTATGCTACGTTCCAGTTTTTTTTTAGAATTGAGAATTTTTAAACAAGAGTGAGACGTTAAATTAGCAACATGTGTAATTGTAGTAATAAAAGAGTCAGCGGAAACAGAGTTAACCCCGGAAAATCCTTAATCACCGTTTTAGCCAAGTTTGTTCCCATTCCCTTTTTCACTTTTTTTCTTATGCAATATGCATGCGGGACATTCTCTCTCCCTCATGCTCATCATCACCATCATTTTCTCCGGATTAACTGTATTAATTTCTCATGAGATCATCATTAATTTTCTTTAATTTCCTTTTATTAGGTTTCACATATATTCATAATTTTTTCATATTTGGACATTTATGTTATATATAGTCATTACGGTCTGTACTTATATTCTCCGTGGGCTTTTTCTGAAAGCAAAATATTGGTGAAAAAAGAATACAGTCCAGATATCCAATTAGCCAGCAATGCATCTTGTAGCGCCATGACCATTAAAAAATTCAGAAGTAAACAATAGTATTTCCTCTGTTTCATTATATAAATCGTTTTAACTTTAAACACGTAGATTAAAAAGATCTATTTTTAAAAAGTTCGACCAATCATAAAAGAAACTGTATAATATAAATAATTATAAATATTAAAGTAATATATAAAGTGCATTGAAACTTGAAAACGACATACATTATGAAACAAAAATTTTTCTCCAAAACGACTTATATTATAAAACTGAGGGAGTATAGTTTAAAAACAGGAAAGATCTAAGAGCAACCCCAACGTTCAAAATCCTTATCAGTTTCTTAAAAACAATATTTTAATTATTTTAATATAATTAATTTATTATTATATATTTTTGATCATAAATAACAAAATTGACAAGTTATATCATGTCATCTGTCTCTTGAGTTTCTCAACCTCTTTCCAAAAATCCTTGTTTTAGAATTTTGTCTCTTTCTCTTTCATCCATATCTATTACTTTTTATTATTTAAAATCAGAGAAACCCACTAAAATATCCCCATTGGGGTTGCTCTAAGAGAGCTTCTATGAACAGAAGATCTTTTTAGCACAACATGTTCACGTGAAGCCAGAAGGTGTTCATGATTGATTCGATTTTGTTCTTTATGCAGTTCCCAAAAAATATATACAAGGATTAAAGCACCATACAAAGTAACAAAACTAGTCAAATGGAAAATTAGATGGAAAAGAGTGTGTTAGTAAAAATGGGTATTGGGCTTTTGTTGTTAAGTTTTCAAAACAAGAATCATGAAGTCGTATGACCATATAATATACACAAACAAAACACATCATCTACTTTATAAAGATCTCTCTGCTCGTCTAGTCCTAGTCTAGTGGCCACCAATAATACCTCACGTATTTTTATAAGTTTCCTCGTGTATCCTTTAGGACGAATATATGTATATACACACCCATGTTTTTGAGTCTTTTGACCAAGGAATAATAGCTAAACTTGAGTTTCATAGACCATGCTTTAAATTAATGAGATTTTTTTAATGGTAAGTATCAATTTATCCTACCAACAAACCTAGCAAATGTCCATTATCATCTGCTTTGCACAAATTATTTTAAAATCATATGGTTTCTATCTTGTAATCTGAATACTTAACTTTTGAAACATAGCACAAGTCAACTTACTTCTCATAGAAAAGCACAAAACCCTTTTTTCCTATAGTCTCCATTTCTCTTTCTCACTAGGCATCCAATTTATTTTTTATATCATATGTTAACAAAAAATTCACACAATGCAAATTTTTCACTTGCATATAAATTTCTCTTATAAAATCTTACGTCATGAAGACGTAAGGGCATGACATTATTGTAAGACAATGAATTACATATATCTCTGGACTCTGAAGACCAGAACCTTTTTTGATCAATAGGAAGGTTTGTTTAGGAAGATAGATTAGACATAAAAAGATTTACTTGTGCCAGACGGCATAGCGATGGCCACTTGTTGCTAGAGTCCAGTCTCCACCAGAAGGGCACCAAGAGCCGTCTCCAAGCTTCATGCACAGTTTTTCACCAACAATGGCTGCATATAAGTTCGATTCTGCTTTTAAAACGCGGATCGTTGACCTACTGTGGATATCTTGTCGCCTCCTAATGTCAATCTGTCAAAATGATTCATAAGGAAAAAAAACAGAGGACAGGTCTTAGAAGATATAGAAAATGTTAGACCATGGATCCAATGATAAGCAGAGAGATTGAAGTGAACAAAAATACCAGTTTGACAATCTGGTCATGAATCGAGCTTCCCCAGTCGTAAAAATGATCGTAGAACACACAGGGAATGCCGGGATGAGTAAGTATATATGCATAGCCCTACAAAAACACGAAACCGATCTTCTTTGATTAGGGAGAGACTTAAAATGCAAGAAAATGGACTGAATTTTGTTTAGAGAGCTTCTTTACCTCCATAATGTGGTGTGAAGGGAACGGCCAATGAGCCTATGAGAGCAACAAAAAAAGTAAGCAAACATATGAAGGCTAAAAGAAAATGATCACAGAAGAAATTGTTAAGTAACCTGAGTAGAGCCAGTGTCATGGTTATCAAGGAACGTGACAGCTCTTGAAGGCCACCATCCCATTACACCAGGTGGCTTCCCTTGGGCATCACATAAACGCCAATACTGACCCTTTACGGCTTCCTGTTATAATAAAAAACATTTGTGTTTCAATACAATGGTGACATTTTGTAAGCAAAACTCTATGAATTTCAGAGGTCTTAAAAAATCTACTTACCTGCAGAATTCCTTTAGTTGTGAAGTCAAATGCAGCAGAGATCTGTCCCGTGGCATCGATCCAACTAATTATACGCTGTCTATGGCTATCTGTAGAAAAGACCAGTGTCATAATTACTTAACACTACAATCATGGAACTAAAATCACTTGTCAAACAATTCAACGCTACAAAACCTTGATTATAGTCTAGACCATGGCCATTGTAATTGCAAGAATCCCAACATTCTCCAACCGAGAATAACGGTTTTGCTGCTCCAATGTATTCCTTCACATAGTTTGCTGAATAACTGCATCAATTACATTCAAATTTCACATATTAAGGACTCCACAAGCAAACAAACAAATCAGCTCAGCGAAAACTTACCCCCTAGCAAAGTCAAAACGGAAATCTTGAAACCCGACGGTGTTGCGCAGCCAACGAAGCCACCCGATTATATCTTTCCTAACAAAATGCTGAGTGTGATCAACATTTGGAACTCCGTTAAAATTATCCCCTGTGCTTCGGTTACCCTGTTTTAATAGAAAACCTTTTCTTGAGCTTTAAGAACATAATGATATGTCAAACATGTAATTTAATCATCACTCACCAGTCCTCCGGTACAAGAAGTCACGGCGTGTTCATCCCACGGTAACGAAATTCCATCATAACGGTTATACATTCCACCATGTCCTCTCGTTGTCCCAACACGATGATTGATGACTATATCAGCCATAGCTCTAACTTTGTATTGTTTCATCTTTCTAAGTAAGGATTTCAATAGATGCTCAGAGCCATATGCTGAGTTTAGTGAATAAAGGTCCTGTGGAAGGTAACCTGAAATGATAGTAAAAACCGTTTCCGCAGTTAGTAATCATTTCAAAACCCATATACATAAAAGCTCATTATGTCTTGGAATCAATTTCCTCTAACCTTCTGGTGCAAGAGACTGAGATGGTGGTGGTAACCATGCAGAAGTAAAGCCAGATTTGGCAATGTCAGGAACTTTTCCGTCCAAGTTTCTCCACCAATCATGTTTATGAGACTCCCAGTTATAAGCCTGAAATAGAAATCCTAATTTCTTTTAGGGTCTACAAGACTAGGTGTCAAACCACAACTATAAGTGTTACACTATAAAACTAAGATGAGCTTACTTGGAGAATGACTTCCCTTCCATCGCGTAGAACCCGACCTGATATAGAAAACCAATAGACTTAATAGTTCAGCTTTAAAACTAAGAAACTAAAGAATCATGAACAAGGCTTAATCCTATATTAAATATCTTGTGTTTACCGATATCAGTTTGGTCGTTGCATTCATCAAAGACCTGCAATAGTATTCATGCTTTAGAAAAAAGAAAGATGGAACAAGAATTTGAACATAAAGTGGTAGAGCAAAAAGGAAAAACTTACATTGTTATGGTAGCCCATGTCGAGACAAGGTTCAGCAAAACCGAAAACCGAAAACACTGATCAACGAGAAACGGGTTGAATTTAACAAATACCTGCATCCAGAATAATAAATACCATTTCAAAGAGATCAGACAATAAGTGATATGCGTAGTGAGACACAAACCAGTAGTGTTGTGAAGCAGCAAACTAATAATCAAAGAATCTAAATTCCAAACATTCCACTAAGAGAACAAATTACTGAAGAGCAACATTTGTTTCAGGACAGATAAATGAAATAATAGCAAAACTCTGTTTCCAATTTCAGATTTGATTAAAGTCTAACCAAGTAATTAGGCAATGTAACAAGATAAAATCAGAGCATTCGAGATCATACATATAAAAGAAGAACCTTAAACTTGAAGAGCAAAAGAAGATCAAATACCACGGAAACGAAGAAGCTATATATCACAAGTCCCTTAATCAAACAATCCTGCGTATATATATAGAGACGAAGAGAGAACGTGAAGTGATTGAACAGTTTCTGATCCCAAACGAATCAGAATCAAATGTCAAACAACTTTCGGCCACACAATAACAAACCTTTTATAAATGTGACAAAGAAGAGGAAGAGAAGCAACGGAGCAAATTGGAGTATACCCACAAAACACAAAGTGACGATTCGATTCTACGGTATTAAGAGATGAGCCAATCACAGAATACAATACCTTCTTCAAAAAGTATAAAGCTGTAAACAACTTGAGCGAAGAATCTCAGAGATAAAAGAGATGTCTTTTTTTCCCCTTCGTTGAATCTTTTAGGGTTTTTGGACTCGATCGAGAAACGAAGCTTCATAATTCGCCAAAGTTTGCGTTTTTCAATTCTCCTCAAAGAAAAATCTAGACACGCGTTGACTGTTAGATTAAAGTAGATAACTTGACATGACTAATCCAATTGAAATAGTATACGACGCGTGTATGTACCATGAGCGATGCCTATATCTGAACGGAGAGATTTGAAAGTTTCGTACTTTCATACATACTTTCATACATAGAGATCAATGAGAAACAACGGCTATATTTTTCTTGCTTTCTTGCCACAGGAACAAATTTCCAAAGATGTTTGATCAATGGATATAGTTGACTTTTTCAAATTTGACTTAAGATATAAATAAGAGAAACTTTTGGGCTTTAGAATAAGCCCATATATAAAAGAAAATTAGAGGCCCAGTTAAAGAGCGGTCTGATACCGAAACGGTGTCATATAGAAGCATACCTCAGTCGTCTTCTAGGGTTTTGACTTTTGTTCGGTAGCCATTAACGTAGTTGCAGAGGAAAGCTGGAAAATAGAGAGTTCGATGAACTCACACCACTATAATGGAGGCTCAGGAGTTTGAAAACCGAGAGATTTTCCCCGGTTCGAGGTTCTTGATCGAGAATCAGATCAGAAGAAGCTCAAAATGTTGACCACCACCACCGATGAGGAAACAGACATGTCCTGCGGCGGAGGTGTCACGGAGCCTCAAAAAGTTGCCATAATCTTCGCGTTTTGCGGTGTAGGATACCAAGGGATGCAAAAGAATCCCGGCGCGAAAACCATTGAAGGTGAGCTAGAAGAAGCTTTGTTCCATGCCGGAGCTGTACCAGAGTCCATTAGAGGCAAGCCAAAACTATACGATTTCGCACGATCGGCACGGACGGATAAAGGAGTTAGTGCTGTGGGACAAGTAGTTTCCGGTCGATTCAACGTTGATCCACCTGGATTCGTGGATCGTCTCAATTCAAATCTCCCTAATCAGATTAGGATCTTCGGGTATAAGCATGTTACGCCGTCGTTTAGCTCCAAAAAGTTCTGCGATCGAAGAAGGTATGTGTATCTGCTTCCAGTGTTTGCTCTTGATCCAATCTCGCATCGTGATAGAGAAACAGTAATGGCTAGTTTGGGTCCAGGAGAGGAATATGTTAAGTGTTTTGAGTGCTCAGAGAGAGGTCGTAAGATTCCAGGTCTTGTGGGTAATTGGAAAGGTACCAACTTTGTTACTAAATCATTGGATTTTCAGTCAGACATTTTGTCGAACAACTCTAGTGCATTAAGAACTGATGTCAAGATTGAAGCTTTGAGTTCTAATTTAGCTAGCTTAAGCTCAGTAGATGTTGAAGTAGGTAGTATACAAGAAGACAGTTGTAAATTGAATACAAATTCAACAGAGAAGATCAATGGAGAAGGAAATGTGATGGCTGAGACAAAGAGCAAGTTTTGTTATGGTGAAAAGGAAAAGGAAAGGTTCAATAGAATACTAAGTTGTTATGTTGGATCATATAATTTCCATAACTTCACTACAAGAACAAAAGCAGATGATCCGGCTGCGAATCGTCAAATCATCTCCTTCACTGCTAATACTGTTATTAATCTTGATGGAATTGACTTTATTAAGTGTGAAGTCTTAGGCAAAAGCTTTATGCTTCATCAGATTCGAAAGATGATGGGTCTTGCTGTTGCAATCATGAGGAATTGTGCTTCTGAATCACTTATCCAGACTGCTTTCAGCAAGTAAGCTTCTTGTTTTTTTTTGGTTTAAAGCTTTGCAATGTCTATAGTTTTGTTTGTTGTGATACTCAATTTGGAAATTATGTAACCAGGGATGTGAATATTACTGTACCAATGGCACCTGAAGTTGGACTCTACCTCGACGAATGCTTCTTCACGTCTTATAACAAAAAATTTGAAGACAGTCATGAAGAAGTGTCCATGGAAGCATACAAAGAAGAAGCTGAAGCATTCAAATTGAAGCATATTTATTCTCATATCTGCGCCACAGAGCGAAAATATGGAAATATGGCTCTTTGGTTACATTCCTTGAACTATAGAAACTATCCAGACCTAAATTTTGGCAGTCATGGACATAATAACAGAGTCCAAATTTCTTGTTCAGAAGAAAGTTGATGAAACCGACCACGAGGAAGATAAGTCATAGTCTCTAAGCAAAATGATGGAAGCTTAGTTTGAAGATCATTGTTTTTGTTCTTATCATTCAACAATGTTGGTTAACTATTCTTGTAACTTTTTTAATCAATGATCAATGTTGGTTAACTATTCTTGTTAACTTTTTAATCAATGATTTTGACTTTGATTTGTTATCATCCAATGTCGTCGTCGTATAAAAGATTTTTTCTTTGTGGAAGAAGAATCTTATTTGAACAATGTTTGTAGAATAAAAATCGGTGAAAAATGATTATAAGGAAGAAACGTGGAACCGAATCTACAGGCAGAGAGACGTAACGTTACATATGAGCAGAACCATATATAAAATCCCTAATCGCACGTCAACCTCTCCGAAGCATAAGGCCCATAACTTTTTTTCAGTTTTTACTATTTAAATTGTTTTTAAATTGTTATTTAGGGTAAATAAAATGTCAGACTTCGATTGACCCGATGAGTATTAGGGTGTGACTCCTATCTTCGTCTGCACTAATAAGTACTACTTTAACTTTCGCTTACCAATGCATGTCAATACTCAACAGTGACACATTTTTAATTTTCAGAGGTTTTTAAATGCCCAAATCTTTGATCTCTAAAGATCGTACGATTTTTAAATTCCTCACCTAAACATTACTTGTATAAAGTGTAAAGATCGTATTTCATTTTCTTATCATTTTTTTTTTTTGGTTTTACCATATTCTCAACTTTTCGCTCACATTAGTCTCACATTCTTTAATTTTTTCATGTACAAGAATAAACTAAAAAGTGTAAGAATCTAATAAACCAAAAAAAAGCAAGGCAGTCTTTTTTTTATATAGATATTATCGATGTTTTCATATTAGACTAAAGAAATTTCAAATATTTTAATTATTGATTGATTACATTGGAAAGAAACAGATGTGACTAATTTCGACTGCTCGTAAGCTTAAAATCTAAAGTAGGTGGGGTGCAATAATATCAGTATTAATAATCTGTGAAAAAAGTAATTAGTAGTATCAGACAAAATACTAAGCAACATCATTCAAAACGCCTCGAAAATAAAAACAATAATTTGAAAGCAAGCAAATATACACAATTACTACAAAGTATAAAATTTTAAATTTCCTTATATCTATGTGGTATATATTAAAGACACAAAAAGAAAGAAAATGACAAATCCTCACGTCCGTTACTTTTAAATCCTTAGCAAAAAAAAAAATTAAATTTCATATTTCTATTTCTTTGTGATTTAATCACAAATCTTATCTTGAATCGTTATCTTTCTCTTCTTTCCTTAAACCAAAACCAAAAAAGAGAGACCAGACAAAAAAAAAAACACACACAACCCCTCACAACAACAAAAAAACCTCTACTAATTGTTTCTCTCTTTAACGATGTCATCGGACAACGAATCGACACCGTCTCAGGCGACGGTAGAAATGACGGCGACGTCTCCGGCGAAGATTAAAGAGTATCCAGAACCATTGGCTTCACATGAAGTTGTCGTTAAAGATTCTTCTGTCTTCTGGGATACTCTCAGGCGATTTCACTCAATTATGTCCACTAAGTTCATGTAACCATTATTCCTCTTGTTCTTACTTAATAAATTTAGTTTTCGTCATTTCTTTTATTTATTTTTGTATGATATATACAAGGATTCCTGTGATTGGAGGAAAAGAACTGGATTTGCATGTTTTGTATGTGGAAGTCACGAGGAGGGGAGGTTACGAAAAGGTCAACACTTTTGTTTTCTTTTTCAATACACAATTTTTTTTACTTTATGGTAATTTATTATCATATTCTTATATGTTGAGTTTGTTTTGAAAATGCATGTAAATTAAAAGGTAGTCGCAGAGAAAAAATGGAGGGAAGTTGGAGGAGTGTTTAGATTCTCTGCGACAACAACAAGTGCTTCGTTTGTCTTAAGGAAACATTATCTCAATCTTCTCTTCCATTACGAACAAGTTCATCTCTTCACTGCTCGTGGTCCACTTCTTCATCCCACAGGTTTTTTTTTTTCTAACCTTCTTCAATTGATTACTTTTTAAGTTTTAAATATATATAGGACACAAGCATTATAATCCTATAGGTTATATTTTTCAATTATCATATATTTATTTCTACGGAGATTCTTTAATTCAACCGCTTGATAAATGCTAATCAATGAATCATGAGATGCTTCCCATATTGTCTTTAATGCCCTAAGACTAGAAATTTCAATTCTTTGTTAACCATTAAGGATAGTCTAAAAGGCTTGAAACTAGGATAAAATAATAAAAATGAAATTCCAAAATGTGATGAAGACATGGGTTCAAATCGTGGTACACATTCTTACTACAACGTGGGAGTTCAACGATTGTATATACCCGAATTTTTTGTCTGGTAAAGATGTATACCTGGATTATATTTATCAGTTTTATCTTTATGGTTATTGTAATTATGTTAATATCTTGGAACTAGAAATTATTTGGCGACGACTATTTATGTCACATATAAGTATCAATTTTGCAGCTACATTTCATGCCAATCCATCAACGAGCAAAGAAATGGCTCTCGTCGAATATACTCCTCCGAGTATAAGATATAATAATACTCATCATCCTTCTCAAGGTTCGTACGTATTATCTACTCATCTTTTTTCTTTGTTTTATATGATCATTTTTTATGACAAAGTATGATTAAGGTCTTAGTTAATGATTATTTTTTATTTTTTTGGTAAAATGTGAAGTATTAGTTAATGATTATATTTATGTGTAACTTATATTTAGGGGCATTAGCTATATGTACTTATCGTAAATTGTTTGTGTTTATCTCAATACTTTTCAAATATAGTCTAGACTAGAATTATAATGGTCCCACTGTCATTATGTTTGATGCAAATTTATTTGGATTTTGTTGGATAATAAACCTAAGATGTGGACCAAACCGGAAGCTTATACGATTTGGTTCACATACAAGAAATTTTTATAAGATAATGTATTTAAGTTTTGCTTATGATACATGTGATATTTAATACATGGCACAGGTTCGTCGAGTTTCACAGCCATTGGTACAATAGAAGGCAAATTCGATTGTGGTTATCTGGTAAAAGTAAAGTTGGGCTCAGAAATTCTTAACGGCGTGCTTTATCATTCGGCCCAGCCCGGCCCATCATCATCTCCAAGCGCTGATCTAAACGGTGCCGTTGTACCTTATGTTGAAACTGGGAGGAGGCGACGTCGTTTAGGTAAAAGACGAAGAAGCAGACGCAGAGAAGACCCAAATTACCCGAAACCAAACCGGAGCGGTTACAATTTCTTCTTTGCAGAGAAGCATTGTAAGCTCAAGTCTCTTTATCCCAACAAGGAAAGAGAGTTTACGAAAATTATCGGCGAATCGTGGAGCAATCTCTCTACTGAAGAACGAATGGTAACAAATTATCTTATAAACCGGGACCGGTTAAGAGATGAAAATAGATTTTGTAGTAAACCGATAACTGAACCGAGTTGGTTTATCGTTTGCAGGTTTATCAGGACATTGGATTGAAGGATAAGGAGAGGTATCAGAGGGAGTTGAATGAGTACAGAGAAACGTTAAGGCTCAGGGATGGTAACATGACAAACGACAAGGCGTTTTAGGTGATTTTAGGCGTTAAGTCGATTTGTTTGTAGGTCGTTTCTCTTTTTTAAGATCGGACGTCTCGCCGTTTATTTTTCTAGCTTATCGTAGTAGTTGGCCATGTGAAAACTAGGCTTAGCCGTGTGTTTGGATTTTATCGGACAGTTCCTTTCTCTTTTTATGTTTTTTCTGAATTTTAGATTTTCTACTGAGGTTATATTTTCTTCAATTCGATCGATTCGTTGATTAGTAAACTAACAAAACACCACAAGAACTATGAATAAAAACTTGGAATTTTCAAAGTCTCTTCCTAAGCTTATCTAGTTCTGCAACGTTAATCAAAACAATCAAATAATGCCACGTCAGCTCGCATAACATCTAGGATAACCAATCACAGCAATCCCATGCAGATAACGCTCTCGCTTTATCTAACCAAATAAACCTCACAACCCCCTTTTGGGAAAAAATCCCACAAAATTTCAATTCATTACGAGTGATCCCAAAAAATAAAGAAAATGGCCGCAATTACATCAGCTACCGTCACAATCCCTTCTTTCACCGGCCTAAAGCTCGCCGTCAGCTCAAAACCCACGACGGTATCCACCACCATAAGATCCTCCTCCGCCACCAGGACGGCACCTAAGCTCTCTGTGAAGTCCTCTTTGAAGGATATCGGCGTCATCGCCGTGGCAACAGCAGCTTCGATTGTTTTAGCCGGAAATGCAATGGCCATGGAGGTTCTTCTAGGATCCGACGATGGTTCTCTTGTTTTCGTACCATCTGAATTCACAGTGGCTAAAGGAGAGAAGATCGTGTTCAAGAACAACGCAGGGTTCCCACACAATGTTGTGTTCGACGAAGACGAGATCCCTAGTGGTGTGGACACGAGCAAGATCTCGATGGACGAGACAGAGCTTCTTAATGGTGCAGGAGAGAGTTACGAGGTTACTTTGACAGAGCCTGGCTCTTATAGTTTCTACTGTGCGCCGCACCAGGGTGCTGGTATGGTCGGGAAACTCACCGTCAAGTAGTAAATTGTCTCGAGACTCTCTTGTTCGAGTACAAAGCTTATTCAAAGTTTATTTAGAAATCTAATTTTGAAGAGAGTGTTGGATAATAAAAAAAGATTATATAATGTTTAATGTCGTAAGTTAGTGGTTTCACTGGCTCTTTTGAACATTTCAAGTCACGGCCATTCTTTGTGTCCGTGAAAAGAGCTTTTAGTTTGAATAAAGTTTTTGTTTTAGGTCTCTCCGCGTTGTGTTTTCTTGCGTTACTTTAGTCCCAATATCAGAGTCTTTTAGAGGCCCAGCTCACCTATATTTACGGATGGGCCTAACGGCTCATGTTTTTTTCGGGAAATACAAGAAACAAGTTTAGTGACCACCCCAAAAAATTGCATTAACAAATCACGAAAAGTAGAGAATATCACGTGATGAAATCATTGTTGATTTTAAATAACAAAAATGAAGAAAGTTCATGGATATGGATCCAAGGGTCAGGCAGGGAAAAATTGTATATTTTGGTTGCCTGGTTTGATTAATTTGAGGCCAAACAGGGAAAATAACAAACAACACAGATCAGCACACTCATAAATAGCTGATAAGTAATCGAAACTCTCTTTCTGTCAAATATTATAGAATCTATAAAATACTTTATTGAGTTGTCTCTCATATGAAAATATCTACTATACATTTTTGCAACACTTTTAAGGGATCCTAATCGGGTCGAATTTTGTTTCAATTTTGACCCGGAAATCTTCAATTGGATCTTCCCTTAAATGTTGGCAAAATTTTAAAACAAAATTATTTAATAAAATCTAAAAATATATATATATTCAACTAATTACTATACATGAACTCTTTATTTATGGCATATTCTCTATGATTTTTATAGATAAGGAAATCAAATATGATGATTTAATGCTAATATAACAAATTTGAGCTAATTTCCTAAAACTTCTCTACCTAATTTAAACATAAATATATGATTCTTATTTCACTTTTATATGATCTTATATTTATATTATTTTGAATTATTATAAAATTTATATAGTTAATAAGATTTCCGATTTTTTTTTGCAATACGCTATGATTTAAATTTTTTAAAACAGACATATATTACTCAATCGATAAAGAAAAAAGTATGTGTACAATCTATATTAATATTTTTTAAGAACAAATTTGCGCGTTTAATCAGGTCATATTTTTTTTTTACTCTGTCCCGGAAATGAGTCATTCGGATATTTCCTTAATTTTTACAATTATCCAAAAGGGAACAATATACCATGGTTGAAATCCTAAAATTAACAAATCAAAATACAATTATTTAGTATTTTAAGATACAATTATAAATTATTTTTACGGGTTGGTACAAAAACCCACACTAATTTAAATATATATATATATATATATATATATATATATATATATATATATATATATTATGGAAACCATTTGAAAGCAAACTTTTAAATTGACTTGAATTATATGTCTTTTAAATAAAAGCGTTATTAAAAGAAATAACAAAATGATGTTTAATTTTACGGGAATGGATTATATGGTGGGACGGGTTTGGATTGATATTAATACGGGACAATATATCACGGGTGAAATCGTAGGATTAACAAATCAAAATACAATTATACAATTTTAAACACTAAACAAAACAAATACAATTTAAAATTTCTATTTTTAGTTACAACGCATGTGACCCGCGGTGTACAACAAAAAAATATTATATACAACAAATTCATCAGTTTATAAAAAGATTAAAATCAAATCAAATAATTAACCTGCGGTACACCGCGGGTCATATCCTAGTAAGATACATATATATAGTGTTAACATTAACATAATGTTAACTCCCACATAATGTAAACTTTCCTAAAATATAAGTAAATAACTTGTACAAGAAGTAATATAGAGATCTAGAATATTCTTCGGTTTAGGCTTCACGGGCTTCACTTCATAATGGACTTTAACGGTCCATATTACTTGGTCCGCAAGATACACATCTTGCTTATCTCTAATACTCCCCCGCACGACAAAGGTGGGATGCGAAACGCAAAATATGCAACCACAAAGCGGAACACCTATGTCGTGGACATCATGTCGAGGACGGACAAATCATGTCAACAGTCTCCTCAGGTATAAACTTCAATTTTCAAAAGAGGATGGAACTTCAGCTCGTCTTTGATCTTAGTAAAAGGGAATAACAATATTCCGTGGGCGCAAATCCTGCAACTCCACAAATAATCGTCCTATCTCGAACAGTCCACAAACCGGACTAAAAAATAGCCTAAAACATGAGTGTTCCAATAAACTCCCCCGTAATATGAGAAATCAAAACTCACATTAAAAAAATGAGATATTCTAAACTCAAGAATAAATCTCATAAATAAACAACTACTTGTGAAATCCCAAACCCTTAAAACATAATAATTCCTCAAAGATCTCTAATTCTTGTGCTAAACCAAATCATAAACTCAAAATAAACCTAAAACATTAACTTAGAATAAAAGAAATATAAAACTCTCATGTGGACGTCAAAGCAAACTTTGCTTCACGTCATCATCCGGATCGTCTTCGTCACCACCGTCTTCGATGGCTTCACATCCCATGGTTATTGTGACCACAAGATTTTTAATGCGGAAGCGTTTAATTCAGATCCACAAGGATCGACTGCTCTGATACCATGTCAAATATTATAGAATCTATAAAATACTTTATTGAGTTGTCTCTCATATGAAAATATAAGATACATATATATAGTGTTAACATTAACATAATGTTAACACCCACATAATATAAACTTTCCTAAACATATAAGTAAATAACTTGTACAAGAAGTAATATAAAGATCTAGAATATTCTTCGGTTTAGGCTTCACGGGCTTCACTTCATAATAAACTTTAACGGTCCATATTACTTGGTCCGCAAGATACACATATTGCTTATCTACAATACTTTCCACGTCGAATTCGATTCCCATATCTTGACAAGTCTAGTTGCAATTCCGAAATAATTAATATGAATAATTTACATTAGTAATGCGAAGAAAGCTCGCAACAGTTGTCATATTTTGTGTTCTAGAGAAAAGCACAATGAGATTAATTAACATATTTGAAGGTTTAATCTTTCTTATATGTCTTAACATTTTTATATAATGTTTAAAATGTATAAATCATGATTTCGACGAGCTTTACTAATAGTTTCCGGTCGAATATAATAGCTGGAAGTGGATGTCGTTTGTGCATTATGGTCTACAGTTGGAATGAATAGAGTAAATTAAATATCGGGTTCATAAAATATGATAAAATTGGACCAATCAATAACGAAGTTGTCCTCATTAATACATTAATTATGTCGTGTAAGCAAAACAGCACGTGAGTGATGTTAAAAAAAGCAAGCTGCAATATGGAGTGATGAAAGATTCGTGTTGAAATACAGACAGATTGCATAACACATCGTCATGTGATATGATCATATGAGATCATATGAGTCATGTGATGCGACCCATTTACCAAAAACCATGATTTTAATTTAAACAATAATTGGAAACTCTAGAGACCGGCCGTTCTAAAAATCTCCGTCAAACCCGACTCTCCGCTTAATTGCTAATCTCATCATATCCGCCTCGATTAATGACTAGTCTCCTAAAAAATTAGTTATCCGATTACTCTCCGCCTAATCCGATTACTTTCCACCTAATCCGATTACATTCTGTCTAATCTTACATATTTCGATTATTTTTAGATTGCAAATATAAAAAAAAACTTTCTATTTTTGTTATTCAATCATTTGAATTGCGAGTTTGTGATGTTTTACAATAACTTATGTTCAAATTTTAATAAAAACATAAATTTTTAATAAAAATCATAAAAATTCGTCTCAAAATATATTTACTGTAATTTTGAAAATAATATTAGATTAATATGTTTCTAAAATATTAAAATAACTCTGAAACTAATCCCCAATTAATCTCTGATTTTAATTTGATTTTTTGATTAATCGCTAGACACATACCTAAGGCCGACTAGTCATTAAAGTTTTGAACTCACGGATCATGGGCAAAAGTATAAACGATGTAGTGTTTTTTTTTTTTTTTTGGTAATCAGAGCTTTATCATTAGGGAATAGAAAATTATGATGATTATCTACCTACCCCATTCGAGACAATAACTAAAAATTTACGTCAGGACTCCTGTACCCATTTCATTAGCTATCTTTTCCCCCTAATTCATTTGATTCGTAATACTACACAGTCTCTTTACTCTTATTACTAAATTGTAAAAACAATTCCTGAGTTGTACGGAGAGCGAGAGAGATATATATGAAAATAATTAGGTGACTTCACAGAAAAATATTATAAGGAGCTGGCCTGACCGGCTGACCCTACAACGTGTAAAGAGTGAAATGAAATGCTTGTAGAACTTAGACCATCTCCGATGTATTTCCCTATTTTTAACTCTATTTTTATAATAGAGATAACTTTTCTCTATTTTTACTCCAATGTGTTCCTCTATTTTTTCCTCTAAAAAGTTTAACTCGATTTATAGAAAAAAAAATAGAGATATTCTATTCTCACCTCTATATATAGAGAAAAAAATAAAGATCTCTATTTTAGAGGTGAGAATAGAAGTGGATTGGAGCAATTTTGCCTCTAAAATAGAGTTTAGAGGCAAATATAGAGGTGGGTTGGAGATACTCTTATTAAGGATATCATAAAAAGAAAAACACCTCAGATATATAAGTACAAGATCGCAAATAACGATCTCATGGCATAAATATTCACAAGTCATATAGATCTGGATCTATAAATAATTGTAGTTTGTCATTGTTATAACTTATAACTGATGCGAGAAAACTACAAACGCAAAAAAAAGTAAGATAGATATATACGTGTGATTCATTAACGATATGATGTATCGACTACGTTAATAAACAAAAAAAATACTGATTTTACTACTGGAAGTTGAATGTTTAAAACTAACAAAAAAGAAAACAAAAGTACAGTATATAACTATACGTAGTTCAATTCTAAACGAATTGTGCTCGCGAGCATACATCCAAACAGATATTCTAAGACGAAAATTGTAAGATACCCTATATCAAATTAGATACAACAAATAACATATCAATAGTAATCAAATAAGTTGTATTATTATATTTGTTGTGTCATAATTTCGATTCAAAATTAGTAAGATTAAACTAATTAAAAATACCCATGTAAGCAAATAGTAAAAGGCAAT